ATACCTATTTTGGGCTATTGGGTCTCTGTTTGTACTGCCTTGTCTTTCTGAAAATTGCCAAAGTACTGGAGCAAGTTCCTTGCATCCTGCAGAGCACCACCGGCCAAACAGAATTGCCACCGGCACTTCAAAATTACCATCGGCACTTTATTGGATTCATCGGCACTCCAGATAGTGCCGGTCGGCACTAAATTCTGCCGGTCGGCAGAAACTTCCTGCATAAGACAATTTGACAGCAAACAGAGAACAGACAGTGCATGGCATGGAGTTTTTAGACACATGGTCATACTTCTTATCATATTTTGAACTCAAAGAAGCGTGACTTTCGATCCTTGAACCATCAATGGTACATGGCGGGTCAACGGATCGAATTTGCCATTTGATATGGAGATGTATGCAACAAACAACATGAAAACCGGGGCCTTATCAAGTTGGAGTCAAAGGTCCCGACGACCGGGAATCAAGGCACATTACATCACTTGAAGTATGAATGGTCCTTGATTCCCACACTTAGTTTGACACCCCAAACTAAGTAAATGCAATGCATGCAATGCTCACAAGCCTCAAATGTATCATGCCACCAAGATGTAATGCACAACAAGCATTATGCACCCAACATGACAAATGTATAATACCAAGCATACAAGATACAAACATGATGCAAACATGGACCAAATTGACCATGGGATTGATGTGCTACAAGGCTTAATGGAGCAACCATGCAACAAACATGGAGCAAGCATGCAAGAGGGCTTAAAATGGCAAAGGGGCAGGCCCTCACCCTTCTCAAAACAGTGGCCAAAAGTGCTCAAAATGATGGACAATCAACTCATGTTAATAAGCAAACTTATGGTCCCAAAGCTAAGGCACAAAAAGGAAACATTTCACCCTCATTAACATGACTACTCATGGCATGATTAAAGCAAAGCAAAAACAGAATTTGTGCATGCAAAATAGGACCCCAAAGACTCCTAATATGGCAGCTAAAGTATCACCCATGAAGCATATGCACTAAGGCTCATTCTTAGGCATAAGAGGACACACCCTCAAGGCATGAAAGAGGCCATGCATGCACACATACAAGCATGATTCTTGGACTAAAAAAAGATCCTTAGATGATGTTAAATCATGAGGGTAATCACAAACATACATGTTAGAGGTCAACATGCTCAAAGCTTTTAAGCTAAAATGCAAAGCAATCCTAACAAACATGTCAAGCATGGCTAGATGGATAACCAACAAACCTTAAGCATGGAAAAACAACACTAGGAACTTCATGGAACTAAGCCAACTTACACAAGGATCATGGCCTAACCATGAGATGTATTTCTAAGCAAGATGGAGCAATACAAAGCAAGTATTACAAGCATACAAGGAGACACAAGTTTGACCAAAAACAGGGGTTACATATGATGTAAAATGCCTAAAGAAATGCTAAAATGAAGCCAAGAAACATCAAGCACACATGCTACCCTCTTGAGCCCAAAAAGCAAGGAAACAAACCATGAAGGGAGAGGGGTGTCCCTCCCCTATGCAAGACTTCAAACCATCCTTTTTGACACTAAAATACACTGATTTTTAGTGATGAAAAGATCAAAATGCTGAAGTGAACAAAACCTTATCAAAGAGGCACCAAAATAGACCAAACAAGGCCTATAAGGGTGAGTTTGCACTCAAACCACAAAATGACCTTAATGAAAGTGCTAGAGCAGGAAAATTTAAGCCTTTTTCATGTTATACACAAGAGCTAAAACAGTAAACAAAATAGGTAGAAAACCAATGCAAGTTTGGGGAATAAAAAGGAAGATGCTCACCCTTGAAGAACCCTTGAAGAACAAATGGTCTAGCCTCCTTCTTTGGATCAAAACCAGTCCAAAACTCAAGAAACAACTCCTCCAAGTCCCTCAATCACGGAGTAAGGTGTAATGGTGTGTGTAATGGTGCAAAAGTAAGGTAAAACACACCTTTAGGCCAAGGAAACACACACAAAGGAGGGGGAAGAGGGAGATATAGAGATAATATGTATCTACTAGCGTATGCCCGTGCCTAAAGGCACGGTGTAAATAATTTTAAGATTAAAATATAGTTATAATTTATACGTATTATGTTGAAATTTATAAAGTTTGTGTCATTTTTTGATAAAGATACTGAAAAAATATATTGAAATATTTTTCTTCTTAAAGAACTTATAACAATTTTGCTTGTATTACTCGCTCTACAAAACTCAAATAAAATAACAACTTCCCCCAATCTTAATAAATATATTACACAGCAAATAAAATGTTAAATACATTTTTTTGAGGGTTAATTTAATTTTTTTGTTACAGGAAGATCAACTAAATGAATCACCCTTATTTTCTTTTTAAATAGCTCCAAACAAACAATCCCTTCCCCCTCTCTATGTCTCTCTCTCCCCCTCTCTCTCTCTCTATATATATATTTTTTGCGAAACCCATAATCAAACTCACATTTTCTGAGTCAACCCAGCATTTAGAATAGATGTTTTTTAACAATCACATTAAAATGATAAATTAAAACTCGAGCAGCCGAGACCTCCGGGAACTCCAAACGAACACAAACATGGATGATCACCGGGTGTTCAAACGGTGACGTCCAAGTCTTGAGGACGGTCAAAAATGGGGTGTCTACAGTCTGACGCATTCGCTGCTCTAGGTGCATTAATTTGTTTTCGCCGCCTTTTCAAGTTTTAACAAAAACTCTTCCCTCTTATTTCATTCCTTCACTTTTCATTCGATTCCCTTGCTTTTTCTCTCTCTAGCTCTTGAATACGCCATTGTTCAAGACCTCAAGCTCTGCAACTGCTTTTATTCCTCCTTCCGGTGAAGCTTCCGCCGTTCTGTTACTTCTGTAACCATCGTCTGACTTCGGCGATCCTTACACCGGCTTCTTTTCTTCGGTGAGTTTACTGTTCCTTTCGTTTTCAATTCTTTGATGCTCTCTATTACTCGCTGTCATTACTGCATTGTTCAAACTTTTAACTTGTGAATCATACATCTGAATTCGTTTATTCCACGATTTTTCTCTTGCCCATATCTTGAATAGACACACTGTTTCACCACTTTCCTGTACTTTTGCCACTGTTCTTGGCCCTATACTTCTTGTACTCTTTATGCTCTTGATAAACCATCTCTGTTCTTGATTCTGAAACTCGTTCTTGTTTCTGTTTTTTGTGTCTTTTCCAGATCTGTGCCTTTAATCTTCGTTTTCATAGATCTAGGTTTGGGATTTGCTTGTAGAAATTTCCTTAGGAAAAAACTGAAACCAGCATTTACCTAGGTTTTTGCCGAGGTTCCAATAACCCTCTCGAAACATCTTTTTTCTGAAATCCAGCCCTTCTAATTCAGGCCGATATCATGGGTATGTGGAAACATAGGGTAAACACCCCATCCAAGTTAGAATATTTTAGGCAGGAGTTTAAAATCTCAGCCAATGTCAATCTGAGGTTGGCTAGGGATGATGACTCCATCATGCCTACTGATGACTCCATGCCCTTCCCTGTAGTCACCTTTATTGAGTGTGGACTTCGGCTCCCACTTAACACCCTTTTCCCTGAAATACTTCATTATTACAAATTGAACCCAATGCAACTTGCCATCAATTCTTATCGAACCATTAATGGCATCATAGCACTAGCCAAACAAAAAAACGCTAGGATCACTCTAGCCGATATCCAATTCTGCTTTACTATGTATGGCCTCAAAAAAGACACCTGCTACGTTTATTACCTTAAGCCGAGGTCAACCGAATACAAAATCGTCGCCGACCTCCCTGACTCCAACAAGGGAGCTGGGGATGACTATTTCATAACTTTGGGGAACTGGGAGTTCGCCACAGATGAGGATCTCCATCTCTTCCCTCTTCCTCGTTCAGTCTTTGTAGAGGGTAATGGTAAGAGCCCTGCATTTATACTTACTTGTTTTCTTTCAAAGTCTTCAATATTTTATTTGTTTCTAACTTCTGTTTTTCTTGCAGCTGTTCCTAAGCCACCAAAAAACTTTCGCCAATCCTTCATTCCCAGCAAGGATTTGAAGAAACTTTTGGACTTGCCAGTCCATAAACGGAAGGCGCCTCTGCTTCTCAATTTTATTCCACCATACAAGTCAGCTCTGCCCGACATCCCTAAGAGGAAGAAGAAAAGCCTTTCTCTACCCTCTGCCACAACTCCACAAACCGCGTCCACATCTCGGACAGACCAAGGATCAACCTCTGATCCAGCTGAGCAACTGTCAATCTCGGCTTCATACTTGATTCCAATACCCTAACGCCACCGTCGACGCCGAACAGTTTCTTCTGCCGAGATGGGTCGCCCAAAACCAGTTGCAAAAAACCTCTTGGCCAGCATCCCTTCTGACGTTGATGCACAACCAACACAAACCCAGCTTCCACCAAAGCCAAAACGAACCAAAAAGGCTTAGCCCAAGGCAAAGGTGACTCAGATCGATTCTGAGGATACCCTGCCAATTTCCAAACTAGCTCCGAGTGAGAAGACTGCCTCTGCCCCCACGAAGAGGTCCACTGAAACACTTCCATCCAAATCCACCAAATCCAAAAGGCCAAGGTCATCTTCTGCAACAACCTCGGGGTCTAAAAAGCCTGATGCCCCCTGGGCCCCCGAAATCACTTTGGAAGATAAGCTTGTTATGGCTAGTGATAGCGCCGATGATATCAATGTCGACGTTGCCCTCAGTACTGCTCTATTTCTTCCAGGCGATCTGGAGCGAAACGCCGAGTTCAATGAGTACGAGAACCACGCCTTGATGCTTCAGCGCTCTGTTTAGGTAAGTGTTTTTGCTTGGTACTTTTTCTTTCTTTCTCTTCATTTCATACTTAGAATATTTTCTAATACTTCTGTTTTCTTTCAAGCCATCCAGCATGCCCACTCTTTCTCAATGCAATCTTTTGAGAACCGTGAGAGGCTAGCTGAAAGGAAGAGGGAGGTCTCCAGCCTTCAGAAAACCAATAAAAACTTGCAATAAAAAATGAAGACACTGGAGGATCAGGCCGAGGTCGCTATTAAAGCAAAAGACGAAGCTGAGGAGAAGGTTGGTGCTGCTGAGGCGATTAACAAAGTCCTTCAAGCCCAGCTGAAGGAAGCTGAGGATAAAGTGGCCCAAGCCCAAAAAGAGCTTCAAGATGCCTTGGCGACCAAAGAGACCGAAATCAAGGACGCCGATGAGAAGGCGTATGCCCAGGGCATAGACGATGTCACGGAGGCCTATGAAAAGCAAGTCAAGCAAGCATGCAACAAGGGTTTTACCCTTGGTTGGATGTCCCTTCTGAAAAAGTTCAATATCCCTGAGGACTCGCCTTTGAGAAACGTCGACGCCATCCCTCTTCCATTCCCTCCAACTCCTCCACCAGCTCAATCCGATGATGATTCCGAATTTGAAGAGGAGGAAACCTTGGTCAAGAAATCCAAGGAGGCTGATGGGGCCAAGTCCCCTTCTCTGAATGAGCAAGTCCTAGACTTGACTCAAGATGAGGAGGGTGATGAGGTCCTCAAAGATGCTGCTCCTAAGAGGGTTTCAGCCAACGTCCCCCTTGCCGACAAAAGTATTGATGAAACCTTGCAAGAGATTGATGCTGAGCTTGCAGCAGAGAAGGCTGCCAAGGTGGTTTCTCAACAGTCTTCCGAGGTCCCAACCCAGCTCATTGCCGATGTTGAGTAATCTTAGTTTTCATGTCTTTTTGTTTCTTGTGTTTCGAATTTTGTTTTTGAGACAATGTAAGCTCTTTGTATGGCCGATGTGCCCTCTTTTTGTTGAATGCTAATACAACTTTTCTTCACTGAGTGCTTGTACCTTTGTCTTCTCTTGGCTACTTTTGCATGATTCTATACTTAGAATATTCTGCATGTCTTTAACATACTCTTCCTTCTTTGTGCAATCTTCTCGGGGTGACACACCTCGGATATACAACCTGATGATTTATAGAAGTGATTCAGCTTAATATAACCTTGGTTTTAACTTGTAAATTTTTCTTAATTTTCAACAAGTGTTTGAGCACCTTCTCGGTTTAACTTAACTTGTAAACTTTTTTCAAGTTTCAACAAGTGTTGAACATCATATCGGTTTAACTCAACTTGTAAATTGCTACAAATTTCAACAAGTGTTAACTAATGATCTCAGTTTAACTTTAACTTGTAAATTACTACAAATTTCAACAAGTGTTAAACAACGATCTCGGTTCAACTTCAACTTGTATATTGCTACAAATTTCAACAAGTGTTGAACAATAATCTCGGTTTAACTTCAACTTGTAAATTGCTACAAATTTCAACAAGTGTTAAACAATGATCTCGGTTTAACTTCAACTTGTAAATTGCTGCAAATTTCAACAAGTGTTAAACAATGATCTCGTTTTAACTTCAACTTGTAAATTGCTGCAAATTTCAACAAGTGTTAAACCATGATCTCGGTTTAACTTTAACTTGTAAATTGCTACAAATTTCAACAAGTGTTAAACGATGATCTCGGTTTAACTTCAACTTGTAAATTGCTACAAATTTCAACAAGTGTTAAACAATGATTTCGGTTTAACTTCAACTTGTAAATTGTTCACAAATTTCAACAAGTGTTAAACATATTCTCCTTTTCTCTACCCCCTAATGTGAACCTGAGTTCCACTTGGGTTCTCATTATACAACATTATGCATCTTCATCAGTCACAAGTGTTGAAGAATTCTGCTCAGATTTTATTGATGACGTCAGTAAAAAATAATCAAGATCTAATGATAGAAAAAATTCAAATTAGAAGTATTCCAGGGTCTTGGCAATGCTTTGCCCTCATTATCTTCAAACCGATATGCTCCATTGCCCAATACCGAAGTGATTCTGTAGGGTCCTTCCCAGTTTGGGCCAAGCTTGCCCTCCCTAGGATCCTTCTTGTTGCCGATGACTTTTCTCAATACTAGGTCGCCGACTTGAAACTCCCTTAGATTAACCTTCTTATTATATGCTTTGGCAAGCTGCTGCTGGTATGCTGCGAGCTGTATGGCAGCCTTGTCTCTTCTTTCTTCTAAAAGATCCAGATCTCGGGCTAAGAGTATATCATTAGTCCTGTTATCAACTCCTTGGGTTCTGATCCCTAGGATGCCGACCTCCAGTGGAATAACTGCTTCTGTGCCATAAGCCATGGCAAAAGGGGATTCCCCTGTTGATCTTCTTGGCGTAGTCCGATATGCCCAGAGTACATTGGGTAATTCTTTTATCCACTTTTCTTTTACTGCCTGCAGCCTCTTCTTTATCCCATCCAAAATTACTTTGTTGGATGCTTCTGCTTGCCCATTGCTTTAGGAAAAACTTGGTGTTGAAAAGTAGTTCTTGATTTTGAACTTTGCATAGAAGCTCTTAATTAGCTTACTGTCAAACTGTGTTCCATTGTCGGCAACTATTGCTCTCAGAATCCCAAATCTGGTGATGATGTTTCTCCATATAAAGTTCTTGACATCCACATCTCGGATCTTGGCAAGAGGTTTTGCTTCTATCCACTTTGTGAAGTAATCTGTTGCTACCAGCAGGAACTTCATTTGCCCAGTTGCTTGGGGCAATTGCCCAACGAGATCCATACCCCATTGGGCAAATAGCCAAGGACTGGATATAGGGTTCAGGTCAGCAGCTGGCTGGTGTATCAAAGGTGCAAACCTTTGGCATTGTTCACACTTCTTTACGTAGGCTTCTGCATCTTTTTGCATGTAGGGCCACCAATACCCCTGGGTAATGGCCCTGTGAGCTAGTGATCTGCCCCCAGCGTGGCTTCCACAAATTCCTTCATGAATTTCATATAAAAAATCTTCAACCTGCAAAGGATGTACGCACCTTAAAAGGGGTCCAGTGAAGGACCTTTTGTAGAGTTGTCCTTCCGCTGTCAGACTAAATCTTGCCGACTTCAATCTGACCTTGTGTGCCTCCTTGTGGTCTTCTGGCAGCTTTCCTTCTTTCAGGAATGCAACAATTGCATCCATCCAGCTTGGTCCTATGTCCACACACATTGCTTTATGCTCTGTGGTCGGTGGTTCTATGCTCGAGCCCAACAAATAATCAATCATTATTGTCCTTGTTTTTCCAGTTTGTATTGAACTTACCAAGTTGGCTAACGTATCGGCATGGCTGTTATCATCTTGGCTAACCTGAAGAAGTCGGTAGTCATGAAACAAGGCTGCCAGCCTGATGACCTCCTTCGCATATGCCGACATTCTTTCATCTCGGGCTGCAAACTCTCCTGTTGTCTGATTCACTATAAGTTGTGAGTCACAAAAAACTATTACCTCATCTGCTTTTGCTGCTACTGCCAGCTTCAGTCCTGCAATCAATGTTTCATATTCTGCCTCATTGTTTGAGGCCTTGAACCCCAATCGAATGGACTGTTCCAATATCTCTCCATCTGGAGATATCAATACTACTCCTGCCCCCGCTCCCTGTCGGTTTGAGCTCCCATCAACGAATAGTCGAAAGGAGTCGCCGATGTAAATGCTGCAGGGTCTAAGTTTTTCTTCTTTCCTTTGTTCCGTTGTATTCGGCTGTGCTTCTTTTTCCTTGCTTGGGCATCGCTCATCTCGGCTCAACGGAGCCCCGTGTACGATGGATTTTGGCGTGAATTCGGCCACGAAGTCAGCCAAAACTTGGCCTCTGATTGCTGTTCTCGGCCTGAACTCTTGGTCATACTAGCCCAAGGCCACTACCCAGCTGGCAATTCTTCCTGTTAAGTCTTCTTGTTGCAACAAGGACTTCAGTGGGTGTTCTGTTAGTACCAAAATCTTGTGGGCCTGAAAGTAATGGTTCAAATTCTTTGAAGCCATTACTAAGGCCAGCATCAATTTTTCTAATGGTAAATACCTTGTTTCTACATCGGTCGGGATTTTGCTTACATAGTAAACAGCCCTTTGCTCCCCTTTTTCTTCTCGGATTAGTACTGCACTTATCGCATGTTCTGAAACCACCAAGTACAGGAACAGCTCCTCCCCAGGTTCTGGATTCGAAAGAACTGGAGTTGTGGTCAGGTACTTCTTCAGATCGACTAATGCTTCTTCGTACTCCTCTATCCAAAGAAAGTTCGTGGCTTTCTTCACCAAGTTGAAGAAAGGTTTGCACTTGTCTGAGCTTCTGCTTATGAACCTATTCAGGGCTGCGGCCCTTCCAGTTAGCATTTGCACCTGTTTTGTCGATGTCGGGCTCTTCAGTTCTAGGATGGCCTTGATCTGATCTGGGCTGGCCTCGATGCCCCTTCTGGTCACTAGGTATCCTAAAAGCTTACCAGATTCAACTCCAAATGCACACTTTAATGCATTGAGTCGGAGCCGATATGTTTTAAGGATTTCAAAGACTGCTTTTAGATCAGCGAGATGACCCTCAGGCTCCTTGGTCTTAACGATCATGTCGTCGATGTAGACTTCTACTGTTCAGCCAATCAGGTGTTTGAACATTTTGGTTACCAACCTTTGGTAAGTTGCTCCTGCGTTTTTCAACCCAAAAGGCATTACTCTGTAATAGTACAGGCCTTTTGGGGTGATGAACGCGGTTTTATCTTCGTCTGGGGGGTACATGGCTATCTGGTGGTACCCCCTGTAGGTATCTAGGAAGCTCATTCTTCCATGCCCTGAAGTGGCATCTACTAGCTAGTCAATCTTGGGTAGAGGAAAGCTGTCTTTGGGACAGGTTTTGTTGAGGCTGGTAAAGTCTACACAGACCCTCCATTTACCGTTCTTTTTCTTTACCACCACTGTATTGGATAGCCATGTCGGGTAGTGAACTTCTCTAATGGCCCTGGCCTCCAGAAGTCTGTCTACTTCTTCCTCTACTGCTTCGACGTGCATCAACGTCGGTCTTCTGGCTCGTTGAATTACAGGTTTGGCCGACCTGTCAACATTCAGTTTGTAGCAAGTGACCTCGGGATCAATGCCAAGCATTTCGTAAGGTGTCCAAGAAAACACCTCAATATTTGCTCTCAAAAAAGCTTCCAATTCTTTTTCTTCCTCTTCGGCTAAGCCCAAGCCGAGAAGAAAGAAGCGTTCTTCATCCCCATCCTGGACGAGGATTTTTTTCAGTGCCTCTTCGCTCTTCTCGGATGGCTCCTTGCCGACGTCTTCTAGGACTTCCACGTCCTCATCTTCAATTTCTGCTTTTTCTGGCTCTCGTATGCTGCAGGTAAATTTCATTGCTGCCATGGAGTAATTCTTCAGCTACAGCTGATCGCCTCTGACTTCCTCTATCCCATGCTTTGTTGGGAATCGTAATAGTTGATGCAATGTGGAGGGAACTACCCCCATCGCATGCAACCATGGCCTTTCCAAGATGATGTTGTAAAGGGAGGGTGTGTCGATGATGGTGAATTCTGTCTTGATCTTCCTGATGCCAGCCTGCACCTCCAAGCTTACTGCTCCCAGTGGCCATGTCGGCGTTCTATTGAACCCAACCATTGGGCCATTGGATTGTTCCATATCATCTGGGTGAAGGCCGAGCTCCTTGTAGCATCGGACGTACCTGATGTCACAAGAGCTGCCTTGGTCAATTAGGATGCATTTCACTTGGCACTTCCCAACCTAGAGGGATACTACCAAGGCATCATTATGCAGATGCTGGACCATCTCTAGGTCGGCTTCAGTAAAGGTTATCATTGGTCCCTGGCACTCTTCTGCCCAATGTCTTTTCTCCCCGACTTGGTAGACATGTTG